TCGAGCGATCTCATTCCGTCCCGTAGAGACCAATTCTTCCCTTCTCTCCTCCATCCACACCTTCAACACCATCATCGACGACGACGACCTTTCGTTGTGGTGGATCGCGGATCACTTCTTTCTTCCCCCGGGGCAGGCTCCCCACCTTTTTTTTTCTCTTTCCATTTCTTCTACTTCAAGGCTTCGAGTTGGTTCAGCAGGATCTGAACGCCAAACTATTCATTCCAACAGCACCTGGCATTGATCGATGTCAAGCTAGCCTGTTTTCTTTCTTTCGACTCGTCAAGAATCTTTCGTACAACAAAGGGAGGACTAAGCCGGTCTTGTTCCGTCTCCGAACTTCAATTCCTGGAGGTCATCAAGAATGTTACCCAAATGGTTGATCACCTCGCTCATCCTAGCGTCGGCAGGAGGAGAGTTGGTGCAAGCCAGGAGCGTCGGACAAGTTTCTGCAGGGGAGGGGAAACAACGTGATCTGTTTGATCAGTTGCTACACAATTTGGCAGGGAAGTATTTCCCAGGTGGTGGTGATGGCACGGGTAAATTGCAGTGGACCGTTCATCCGCTGCCGAGGAAGAGGCAGCTCAACTTGAGCCCGAGCATCTTTGGAGGTGGTAGCGGTGAGGACAGCAGTGGTGATGCGACGAGTGTGGGCGGTGGTGGCGGCGGAGGGGGGAATGCGATGCCAGCTTCGATCCTAGCGGCAGCGTCCGCGGCGGCGAACACTGCTTCACCAAGTGCGAGTGCCAGTGCTAGCGCTACAGGCAACACGGATCGTTCGTCTGCTACAGCAAGCAACACTCCTGCTTCATCCGCTTCCTCTAATCCGCCAGCTTCTACGTCTGCAGCTCCAACCTCGTCAGCTGTCCCGCTATCCAAGATCATCACCAGCAATTCCGCCTCCTCGACCTCTTCTCCCAGCACCACCTCTTCCTCCTCATCCACCTCCACCGCTTCACCCACCTCAACCTCGTCACCCTCCAGCTCCGACCAAGCACTCCTCTCCCCGAAGAACAAGTTCTTCCCACTCGTCGTCACCGGACTCGCCGCCGCCGGTCTGGTCGCTCTCATGATGCTCATCGCCATCGCCCGCTGTCTCGCCCACGACCAGCTGCGAAGGGACAACCTCAAGAAATCCTACGGCTTCGACGACTCCTCCCCCAAAGATCGCTTCACATCCGCACCGATCGGAGCGGCTCGATCGATCCGTCGAGCGCTCACCAAGAAGAAGCAGCTCGGAAGCTTCGCCCGGCGAACCCAGGATGGCTCGGTGCTGATCGAGGTCGGGGACGAAGTGTTTGCGGTACCGCCGCATCTGGCGGATAGCTATCGCGAGAGGATTTTGAGGGAGAAGAGGTCGAGGAGCGATTTGTCGAGCGAATCGAATGGGTTTGGGGTCAAGGCAAAGTATCTTAGCGACGGGGGACCGGATGGCGATGAGGAGCAGGCGAGGATGAAGTACGACGCAATGTTGGACGGGGAGGGAGGAGGTGTGAGGAGGAGTTTGAGTCAGAGGTTGGGCGATAGGTTGCGATCGCTTACGGGTGGTGCAGCCGAACCGGTGGAGGAGAAGGCTGCCTTCTCGTTTGCTTTGCAGAACCAGCCGCGAGGGGCGATGCGACAGAGCGATCTCACCGCTCGTCAAGGTGCACTCACCCAAGGTGCACCAGGTTGGTCCATCTCACAACGTCAGAGTTCAGCGGGCTACACCGCTCCAAAGCAACCAAAGGAAGAGTTCGGAACGGCAAAGATCATGCCTCGAAGCAGTCCTCCCCGACCGCCTGCCCTGACCCCGGCTGCCACCGCTCCATCCCACCCTCTACCTGCTCCCACCACTCAACGCACCAAAGCACGCAAACCACCCCCCAAGCTAGAGCTCTCGCTGCTGACCTCCAAGTTGGCCGAACTCGAACGTCTACCCGCCAGCTCCTCGCTCACGCACTCATCCCGCGCCTCGGCCAACGGAACCTTCGGCGCACCCACCCTCTCCACCACCTCCTCTTCCGACCACACCTCGATCCCCGGTGCCTTCCCTGAACGCACCAAATCCCTCTACCGCTCCAACACCAAACCCTCCGACACCGTCGGAACCTACCGTCACCGACCCTCCTCCGCCGTCCGCTCCAAAACCCACCACAATCGCGATAGCACAGCCCTAGGCTCACCCACCCGCTTCACCCACGAAACCCACCGCATCCCCGTCAACCCGGAGAAACCTCAACCCGCCAAAACTTCCGACAAAAGACCCCTCCCCATTCCCCCACCTTTCTCCCTCCCCAAGTGATGTACGCGCTCCCCTCCCCACATTGATGTACGTTAGATCTTCTTCACACACTTTCATTTGAAATGGAAAGAGAAAACCCAAAAACGTTGCTTGTGTACGCAGTCGATGAGTGACAGTATACATCTTATCGGAAAACCAAGCCTGTTTCTGTGAAAACTTCGTTCAAGCTGCCATGGAACGAAAGTTGAAAGTGGATCCCTTGGAAGCGCCACTCGGATACCTGTGCTGCGAAGCAGCCGACGCGTTAAATCCTCTGGGCGGCGGAAACTGTGCGCTAGAGGTGAAACTCAACGACCCCGACGTGAGTGGCGGACTGGGAACTCGACTGATCTGCGGGCTCTGCGCGGCTGTGCTGCCGCCGTTGGGACGCGCAAGGGTCGCGCTGGCGGTCCGGATGGGCGGTGCAGCCACAGGCGGCGGAGGGACGCGTGAAGGGGGAGCGGCAGATGGTGCAGGAGGTGCTCGGATGGGCGGTGCTGCCCGACCTGGCGGAGGCGGTGGAGGCGCTGACGAAGGCGCTGCAGCGGCAGAGCTGGTGCGGGAGTGACCTCCAGAGGAAGGAGGCGGTGGCGGTGGTGGTGCTGCAGAGCGACGGGGTGGTGTAGGAGCTGAAGAAGCGGGAGCAGGAGGAGGCGCGGGAACGACACGCGACGGTTGTGGGCTTGCTGCTGCTGCAGAAGGAGGCGGGGGAGGCGGCGGAGGAACGGCGGATGGTCGAGTGGGCGTCGGTGGAGCTGCTGCGGCTGGTGCTGCTGGAATAGGTCGCGAGGTAGAAGGCGGCGGCGGAGGCGGTGGTGGTGCAGCAGCACCTGGACGACCTGGCGGTGGCGGCGGTGGTGCTGCACTTGGAGCACTGCTCAGCGGTCTGCCCGGGGGCGGCGGAGGCGGAGCGGGTGCGGCGACAGCGCTGGGCCGACCTGGAGGTGGCGGTGGAGGTGGAGCAGGCGATGATATGGTGCTCGGTCGACCAGGCGGCGGAGGAGGAGGCGGTGCGATTGGTGCACTGCTCGCGGGTCTGCCAGGAGGTGGTGGTGGCGGAGGTGGAGCACCGCTCGGCGCTGCTGCTGCTGGCCTACTCGGCGGGGGTGGCACGTTTCTTCCCGGCAAAGACGGTGCGGCTGCAGATGGCGGAGGAGGCGGTCCCCTTGGTGGTGCTGGCCGGCCTCCTGCAGGGGGCGGAGGCGGAGGAGGACCCGCTGGTGATGCTGCGGCAGGACGAGAAGGAGGTGCACTGGCTCCTGGTCGAGCGGGTGGCTTTCCGAGACTTGCATTGATGGCCGAGCCCGCACCGCTCGGTTTGAGCTTTGGCATTCCACCAGCGAAAAGACCTCCTAGACCCGGCGGTCCACCAAGCATGGAGCTACCACCTCCTGAGGATGCATCGCCAGAGCGCGTGATGCTAGATCCTCCCCCTCCTCCTCCCGCACCGCCGCCGCTCTTGGGATCGAGTTGAGGTCCGGAGCGATCATTTGTGACAGCCTCTGTTGGTAGGGAGAAGAGCGAAGGCAGACTGTTAGCTACAAGCGTACTCGAGCATACCCTACGACGGATGAAACTCACTCTTCAAACCCTTTCCCTTCTGGATCGACGACAAGAGATCCGCATTCATCGTGAGGTGCTGCGGCTACTCGCGCAGAGCAGCGATATGTTCGTGGGAGTGGTGGAAAGCGTAGCGAGATCCGTGACCCTTTGTCGAAAGCTTTGCTTGCAGTCCTTGAGACCTGTGTTGCGAATCTGGCAAAGATGACGGTGCTGAGTTGGTCGTGTGGAGCAAGGATGCAGGGGGCTGTGCTCGTGGTCCGTGACACGCCAGACCCAAGCGACGGCTTCTGGAATGCAATTCTCCCGTTTCCGAAATACCGATCGGATCGTCATCGCTCCGATCCACCGATCCAAAGCTCTTCCAAGATTCTTTTTTGATCTAACACTGTGTAACGCTGGCGTAACAGAATTTAAAAAGCGAACTCTCAACAAGACTCTCACACATCGTGTGATCATGTCTGTACGGTTTACTGTGGTCACGATCTCTGTTCTAAGAGCAGTGTCATGTGGTCGTCTTGCTCTTCAGCTCACATCAATAGACAAGCAGAGTAACAGAGCGCGCTGCGGATTCGGCTAGGCCAGGTCTTGCGGGGAAGGCGAATCGCTTATCTGTGTAGTGCAGGGACACCATACCGCTAGCGCCAAAAATTGTAGACTGTTCACGATTTTAGCTCGAGCGCTCTTGACCACGATTGATCCGAGCTTTTTCGACTTTTGTTCGCAAGCTCGAGCCGGAAACGTTTACATCCTTCTCCCGTGACCATGCGAGACTAGAACTAGGGGAAGAGCTTGGGACCAGCTGTCGCGATTGAGCTACGGGGCTACTGTTCAGTGCGCAGCTGGGGCCTATCGGGGGCAGCCTTTTCAATAGCCGAGCAACATAAGCACCTTAGGTCGAGCGCCGGGTAGGGTGTCAACGCATTGTTTGCCAGACAACTCAGCTTCAATTGAGACAAACAGGATGAGAAAAACAGTGAGCGCTGACAACGCTTTCCTCATAATGACACAAGGTGTCCCGCTATCATTCAGCGTCGGCGATCTCACGATTCTGATGATCATGGACGATGCCCTGACGCGATGGAACTTAGGGCTTCGGGAGCAACAGATCGCCAAGCATTCGAATGTCCGATCCTGTCAAGAATCGTTAATTGACAGACCTATTCTGGGGAGACCGATACGACAAGCGATCTCCGACACGCATGTGATTGCAAGGGGTCGACGCAGGGGCCCGGGATCGATACTAGGAACAATTGGATCGAGGACGTTTGGAATGACGGGATGGTCCACACGATCAAGACAGGGGTCCAAATGACACTTGACTCGACGGTCTTCGAAAGTCTGCATAAACGAGCTGGATCACGCGGTGGGCCCAAAACGGTTGGCGTCAACCCGGACAAATTGTATCCTCAGCTAAGCTCTTCGATGGTGACGCTTGGGTTAGCAATGTGGCCGAGTGCAGCATCTACGGCCACTGGAAATTCGCCGTGATTGTCCGTTGCTAAGAGTATCCGAGAGCGATGGAATTCCGCTGTTCCTGTACGCAGGTGTGTGCCTGGGAGCAGCAACATCTACGAGAGGGCAAGCAGTGTGGTGGCGAAAGCGGCATGAAAGTCGAGCGACGTCGTAGCGCGTTGGAAATGGGAGCGGAGGTCGAAATAGGGAAACATTCAAGGCAAGCATCGCGACTCGAGAAAGGGTACAGTGGTAGACCATCACTGAACCACGCTTCGAACGCATGATTGAGCTATCTATCCTTTACTGCTCCAGCACTGGACTGCAGCCGGTATAGTATCGCTACGGGATTGCTGTGTCCGACATTGTCTTCTTCAAGAGTCCGACGCTCGATCGGCAGTTCTCTGTGGTAGCAAAAGCAATTGAGATCACGTTAAGGAGGGAGACTGAGGCAACGTCGATGCGAACCGAACTGAGCTCAAGCAACCGTTGGGCTCTTCGGAGAGCTTCTTTTGCTTGCGGAGGCGGCAGCGGCTAGCTTGCAGGCGCACCCTTCCAAGCGAGCACTCGCGGCCGCGATGTAATAAGTCCAGAATAGGAAGGCGGCCACGGCTGCAGCCGGTTGTAATCATGGACTTGCCTGCTATGGCAACTCTACTGGTATGGAGGACTGGACGTCGCCGAGACACTGGTCTTTCGCTTCGCCTCAGAAGAGGAAAATGAATTCGGATTTTCGTTCATGCATTCGAAATTCGAAGCGAGACCAACACACCTGCCAAAATCCGCCAGGTTGCTTTGCCCTGTTTGGCAGTCTTCCACAGCCAAGCGCCGTGGGTGCTGTTCGGTAGAATCGCCATCCAACTGTTCCACGCATACACTCGTTCAACCGACAAAATCGAGCAAGTGGTCAGCCGCCGACAGTCTGTCCGTCAATGCAGTCGTCGGTCGTCAGCTGCAGCAAGGGAGCCAAGGTAAGCAACACTCATAAACCGCCCGAGGAAGCTCGACTCTTGGATTGCGTTCGTGTGCGTTGCAGCTTTCACCGGAGCGTCGGAAGACTCGGATCTGCCCATGACGGCGTCGCTCTTTGAATGAGAAGCAGTCTCTGAGCTCGCAATGATCTTGCTGCAAATGCCAATCTTGGCTTGAACCCAAGAACAGCGCCGTCAGGCCGGTGGACAGAGATGCAAGGATGCACGTCAAGGTTCTACGACTATCCACCGCCACGTTTAGACGCCGTGGCGTGCTGTTCCGGCTCCTCCTGCTCGTGCATTGCAGCCTCTGGTGGCGTGCAATGGTGTTCTCTGGCTCCACTTTTCGATCGGCACTCGCACCACCTCTGATTTCACTCAACAGCAACACCGAAAGGCAAGCAACATCGATCGATGTCATCGCATGTAATCCCACGAGGTGTCGGCTGCCAAGCGCCTCGGCATAGGCACAGTGGCTGCTCTGCCAACCTTCTAATGATGCGAGCAGTGCCGTCCCTCGAGCTGACCTAGCTAGCCGCTCGACTTCTGCCCGTCGTCTGGATGCCAAGGCGTCTGCGTCCAAACTCTATCGGCTTATTGCAGCTTTTCGTTCCTTGTCCCTGAGTCGCCGTCCGTTTGAGATTCGAGCCGGCCGCTCCTCGTTCTCTAGACTCGGGATCTAGACGACCAGAGACCAATTCGCTCGACATACATGAGCATTCAGGGACTTGATTGTGCTCCGCCTGTCACACTTTTCGAGTCCGACCCTCACGGCCCCTCTTGGCACCAACTTCTCTACTGCAGAGGCTGTGTGAAATGTCAGCGTTGAACTCCTTGTCTAGCATGCCGCTGCCCCTGAGAGTCCGGTGGCTGACTATGGCACTTTGTTCCTTCGCCTGCGCATCTCGCTTTCTGCCGAGATTCCGGCAACGCGAAGCTCTTCGCTCTTGCCCGCCTTCTGAATCTCTCAAACGGCCTCTGGTCTGGAATCCTTTCAACTCCGCCCTTTCCCCCTGCACTTGCACGAGCACACAGTCAGCGTCTCTGTATCTTCTACGTGAGCCATCGTTCTTATAAAGACCTCCTCTTGCCGATCTGATTCTCCGACTTCTCCTTCCTCTCCTTTCTCCATACCTCGCAGCTTCCAGCGCATTCACTCCCCTCTTCTCACTTGCTTCCCCTTTCCCTACCCTATATTCTTCCCCACACCAGTCCCCCCGACATCGCCAGCTTTCCCAGCTACGCCATTCAGCGGATTCCTCTCAGCTTTACCTACACAACACCACATCGCGTCACATCGCATCGCATCAGCATTTCGCCGCTGTGGCGCTCGTCTCACTAGTCTCGCAAACGCGATTCTTGACAGTCACATCCACGCCATCTTCTGCCCTACAGATATAGCTGTCACTTGAGCCATAATGAAGATCACTTCTTTTGGCCTGGCCGCCATTGCACTTGCCCTTATGGCGGACAACGCCGAGGCCCTCCCCGCCATTCGCAGCTACAAGGGTGTCTCGCCGTACAAGGCACGCAACACCGTCAACCCAACCGTGCCAAAGCTCAAGGACCCTCGCCTGGTCTCGGGTGCTCGTCGAGCGCGTCTCAGCTCGAATGAACACCTCGAAGCGACCTACCTGGATGAGCTCCACTACATTCCCGTCCACGGTCAGGCCGAGTCGTCCAGTCAGCAGTTTTGGAACAATGTACAGCAGAGACTCGAGTCGGCCATCGACAGGCTCGACAAGGCCACCTCGATGCTCGGCGTCGGCAACACTGTGTCGCCCTACAAGGCTGCCAACGCCGTCAAGAGTGCTGCCAAATCGCTCGGCTTCTCTTTCAGCGTGAACAGCCACAGCAATGCTCACGGCTCGTCTCCCGACTTCAGCTTCAACTTCAACGTCTCGGAGCCCATGAGATGGGGTGAAGAGGCCGAGCTCTCCGAGGCCACTCGCGAAGATGCGGTAAACAACGCAGCAATGGCTCTTCCCAACCTGCCCAAGGATTCCGGGTTCGACTACGCTAACGACAAAGTGCGCGGTGTCAACCTCGGCAACTGGCTTCTCTTCGAAGGCTGGATGGACAGCTCGCTCATGCAGGCGCTCAACGACCACGCCATCAACGCACCCTACCCCAACCCCATCATCGACGAGTGGACCGCTGGCCTCTACTCAGACCCTGGCTGGGCAGCCTACGTGTTGCAGAAGCACTTTGACGAGTGGATGACCGAGGACGACTGGAAGGCGATCAAGGCAGCCGGCCTCAACCATGTGCGTATCCCCGTGCCTTACTTCATGTTCAAAGAGGCCATCGGCCCAAACGCCCCCTACCTCGCGTTGAACCGCTTCGCCAAGCTTAAGGATGGTGTCAAAATGGCCAAGAAGTATGGTCTCAAGGTGTGGATCGATCTGCACAGTGTGCCTGGCTCGCAGAACGGCTTCGACAACTCGGGTCGCAGCGGTCCCATCAACTGGGCCAACAACCCTTCGTACTACACGCAGACACAGTACGCCTTTAACCGCCTCGTCACCGAGTTCACGCACTCGGACTACGCTGGCGTCGTCACCGCCATCGAGGCAGTCAACGAGCCCAAGGGTAATGTAGTGCCAGCTGTGCAAACCTTGCTGAACAAGTATTACCCATGGGCACGCAACAAGGTGGCCATCCCTGACGGCTGGAACAAGTACTCGAACATGCTGCTCGTCATCCACGACGCCTTCCAGGGTCTGCAGTACTGGCAGAACTTCTGGACGGGACGTGCTCGTCACCGTGTTCTGCTCGACACGCACCCGTACTTTGTGTACAGTGACTGGGAGCACCAGGCTACAGACACGCAGCGACTCCAAGAGGCTTGCAACCTGACGTCTAGCTTCGAGACTTCGCAGAAATACTATCCCTCGATTGCCGGTGAATTCGGTATCAACGGGCCCAACGGTGACCGAGCTGCAGACCGCGACCTTCCCGTTGGACCGATCAAGTTCCCCGCTGGACCAGACTACCCGTACTCGGTCAAGTACATGGCTTTCATGGCGAGGAACTTCAAGACGCAGCAGTGGATTTACGAGCAGGGCGGTGGATGGATCCAATGGTCGTGGCGCAACGACAACAACCCAGACTGGTCGTACAAGACGGGTCTCCAGTATGGATGGATCCCAACGGATCTCGACCAGCAGCCGTTCGGAGCCAACCCATGCTCTTGCATCCCTAGCTTGATCCAGGCTGCTCAGGACGGCACCGCTCAGGCGAGCTGGACCATGCAAGAGCTCTCCGAGAGTCTCTACTAAGCAGGCTGCCGTTGGTGGATCTGCCAGGGGCCATGTGATGCTCGCGGCGGACAACAAGCAAGTCGACGCCCATCTCCTGGTCGAAGAACAACGCAGATACCCCGTGATGCCGTTCCGAGCATCCACCCTGCCGATCGATCCGCCTCAACTGCCTTGCTTTGCCTCCCAGACACTTTCATGATCGATGGCCGTATGTACGATTCTATTGTCCGCCTCTCATGTCTTTCTCGTATCGTGCTCCGTCCACAAAGATCCTTTGGGGATACTTGCTGCATTCCGACCGACATCTCGAACACCTCCTCGACAAGTTCCGACACATTTCGACACGACCCGTTTTCTGTTTCTTGTTCTGCTTCCGCATGGCTCTCTGCACGACCGTTTTCCCATCAATACTAGTTGTGATCATGATATTGCCTTTCGCTGTGCATCTTGTGTGAGCCGTCTAAGTCGACATGCCTTCGCTACTGTGTGGTCCTGAGCCTGTGTCGACGCACGCAATCTTGATGCGTGCCATCTCCATGCCTGCCATCACTCGCGAGTCGCTAGCGAAGTAGATGGCGTTGAGGGTGGCAACAATTGCACAATATTTGCTGAACCCTTGATTTCTAACCGACTCGCTTCGGAGTGTTTCTCGCAAAATGCCCAAGCTCGGCTACTCCGCGGATTCACCTTGGGAAGGATTCGCTCCGCTTGCTCGCTCGTTCATCGTCTCCCACCGCCACGTCGCCTCTTAATAAGGCGAGGCACCGTCAAGACCATACTGTTGCCCTCGAACCACCACATCGTCTCATTCGAAGCATCGGATCGCTCGGAAGACACAGCTTCGATCGAAGAGCATATTCGTCAAGATGGCTTGCCCAGTCAATCACCCCGCCTTCCACGCCTTTGTGTTTCTCATTGGCGTGATCATCATGTTCGGCAAGTACATCAAGACCTGAGCTCGTCGTATGGCAGCTGTTCACTCGTACCAGAATCGATTCAGAATCGCACGATGGTCAGATGCTCAAAAGCATCTCGCAAGTCCACTGTGCAACGGCCAGCACACCTTGGCATTAGTAGCTCGTCGAGAGCCTGTCCGATGTCATCTGCGTGCTCGAAGGTGACAACCACGAGGCAAGGCCGCTACTCAGTCCATTCTGATGACATCCACGCACGCATCGCGCTCTTCAGCGTTCATGGAGACACCACAAGTCATCATCTAACGCTGCCAAACAGCGTCATCCGCTGGTCCTACGCGCTGAACACTTCAGCAACCACATCATCGGCGCATCTCAGGCACGCATTCACTCTCATTCAGACACGCTCTTTCTTTGTTTCCGTGCTTGTCCAATCTTTGCATCTCGTCTTGTACTTCTATTTGTCCCCACCTCGAGCAATTAGTAATGATACCCTCACTACGCCTGTTACGACCAAGAATACGTCTGCCTGTCCAACCTCCAAACCGCCTTCCGCGAAGTCGTCTTGCTGTCCAATGCCGTTCCATCAGGATTCTGCAGTCTAAGCGTCGCAGTCATGGTGTAGGAGCGTTGATCGTTGACCTTGCAGTGGACGCTTCCGGAGATCTTTTGACCACGGTTGACGGCCAGTGGTTCGGGGAGGAGGAACCGCACTTGCTGCCAGTGCGTGGGTTCGGCGTAGGGGGATGTGGTCATGAAGTTGTTCGCTGAGGAAGAGGTGGTCGAGTCGATGGTGGGGAGTGTGGTGAGGACTGCATCCATAGAGGTTGGGTTGGATGCGGAGGCAGCGGCAGAGGCGGAGGCGGAGTTGATGGTGTCGAGAGCGGCAGAGAGAGACATTGCCGGAGCATTTGCGTCTCCCATCGTAGCGTCGGCGTCGTTAGGCGGTGTAGGGGATTGAGAGTTGAAGTGGAGATCGAACCATCCTCCCAATCCGTGAACGATGGCTGCGTTGGCGAAGGACCACTCGACGGGAACGGTGAACTCTTGCAGTTCGGACTTGCTGATCGTGGCAAAGTCGATCACGTAGTCGCTCGATACGCTGAGCAGGCACTGAGGCGGGAAAACACCAACGACAGGGCTGGAAAAGTTCTCCTCGAACGCCAGTGCTGCAAAGGGTGAGACGTCGACGCCGTAGAAGTTGCTGTTGAGCCACCACTTTGCTTTGTTGGCAGTGTCGTTCCACAGCTGCTTGTCCTCGAATGGTGCCAAGCAGATCGTACCTGCTGAAGGGAACACCGACCCTCCGGGTGCCAAGTATTTGTCGCGAGCATCCAAGAAGCTCTCGCACATCCGTTCGTGTACCAGCAATACACCCAAACATTCCGACACGATCGTGTCCACTTGTGTGTGACCTTGCAGATGCTCCGGTTTGACATCCTCCACCTTGGAATGTACCGGAACGAGTCGATCCGCCAACCAGGCATTCCGTGGTTTGTTCGGATTCGTCGTACCAAAACTTACCCCACCCAGCCCTGCATCCCCTGCTCCCATCAGCTCCAACGTCTCCTTCTCCTGTTCCACCACCTGCGCTCCCCTCTGATCTTTCGCAGCGTCAACCACCTTCTGCAAGCATTCGACCATGTTCGACGCTTCGACGGCGTAAACCTTCTTGGCACCGGCCTGAGCCGAAAAGAAGCTCAGAATGCCGTTCCCCGCTCCGACGTCCATGACCACCTTGTCGTGAAAATCGCGCGCAGCGTTGTTGAGGATGGCGCGTTGGTAGGCGGTGGTGCGAACAGTATCTTGGAGCATCTGAGCTTGGTGCGAGAGCATGCTGTAGTAGCCGAAGTAGGCTTCGTCCTTCTGCTCGTAGATCTCGGCTGCCGCCGAAGACGAGCCTGATGCGGCTGCATCGGTGTTGGCGCTCATGGTTGGACAGACAGAGGGTGTATGCGCTTCTGGTACCGGCTCGAACGTCTATAAAGAGGGGCGAAGGGCAAGAAGGTGTTGGGCAAGGGCAGGAAGCACTTGGCAGAAGAGCCTGGTCGGTGCACTTCCGAAGAAATGTCTCACGGTTCGGACTTGTTTGTTGTCCTCGACAAGTCGGAAGAGGCGACACAGAGACACCTTCCCAGGAACGCGACAAATTTAAAAACATCGGGAATCCCGATTGGAACGCGCCTCGTGATCCGAGTTGCACTGACTCCAATCTTCCATTCTCTCACATCATCATCATCCACCACTCCTCCAACATCGGCACGGTCGATCATCCAGCACATTCCCCACGTCGAATTTTCACACCGTGCCAGACAGTCTCGCAACCTCAGTACCGGCCCTCTATTCAGCAACGCCTGCCCACTGACGGCTCCTGTTTCCACGCCGTTCGAGCAGCACGGTCCCTCACGTATGTTGATGGAGATCAGCATACCCTTCGCAGACGTCCAGCCTGTACGATCCTTTTCGCGCAACATCTGAAACCTTGCTGCTGCCGTGCGATGCGCCCTCGCCAACCATGAATCCAATGATTCCCTCCCCATACGCTCTGCAGCCGTCGGCGCTAGCGAAACTCTCTCTGCGCGACAAGCTCCTTCTTGCGCAAGCTGTGCACGAGATCGGCACCTCTCCTCCCGACTGGGGTCGTGTCTCCGCCCTCCTTCTCGCCCATCCTCTCATCCGCCAGCAATCTCGTCTCGAACAAGCCGCCAATGCCGGCCTCACCCTCGGCCGCATCTTTGGTACGCGCGAGTGCGAACGAGCCTGGATCGCCCTCATGCGTCAACGAGGGCTCGTGCTCGGCAAAGATGAGATTCCTCCAGAGCCTGTCACGCCCACAACGCCCAAACCGAAGGAAGCGCGTGGCCTGCAACCTCGAACAGATAAGAGGTCGCAGCTCGCGCTCGCGCAACTCCTGTACGCCGAAAGGATGGAAGAGCTGAAGGAGCAGATCAAGGAGAAGGAGGAGCAGTTCAAGAGTCTCGTCAAGGAGATCGACGAGATCAAGTCCGGCAAAGCAGATGCGAGGCTGGAGATGGAGTTGAGGATAGAGATGGAAAACTTGGCGAATGGACCACCGCTACCGCCGTCGACACCGGGGAGTGCTGCACCGTCTGTGGCTGGACCAGCGACACCTGCTTCGACTGCTTCCACCACGCCAAAGAGCGCAAAGGCCAAGGGAAGACCACGTGGTGAGAGCGCCGCAGATCTGTCTAAAATCTCGCCTACCCGCTCCGACGTCACCGGCACAGGTTCTGCACCCAACAGCGCCAGCAAGAAGCCTGATTCGGCCAAGTCGAAGAAGCTTGGCGACAGGAGGGCGAGCATCGACGAATCGCCATCGAAGCAGATGTCTGGTCCGACAACGCTTCCTGCTTTGCCGGCAGTCACGCTGCCTCGACCACCTACGGATGCTGCAGTGTCGTCAGCGACGGCTTCTGTCAGTGCCAACCCGAACGCGCTCAATGCAGATGCAAGCAATGGTGTGAGCGCAACGGCAGAAGAACCGAAGCAGGTGATGACGACCGAAGAAGCAGAGCGGGCGGTTGCGAATGCAGCGACGGAAGCAGCCGTCAAGGTGCTGCAAGACGAGACGGTAGCCAGCAAGGTGCTCGACGCAGAAGTCGAGAAGGCGGTCGAGAAGGTGGTCGAGACAGAGACCAACATGGAGCTTTCGGCGCAGGCGGAAGGTGGATCTGCTGCGCAAGCGGTGCCGGCATCTGCGACAGCATCGAGTTCAGCAACACCGGCAGCAGCAGCAACAACAGCAGCAGCGGAAACGAACACAATGTCGACAATACAGCCACCGACGCGATCCAACGAGGCGCCAGCGGCGGAAGTGGTGGTCAAAGAGAAGGAGCCCGTCGAGGTCACGGCCTCGAAAGCTGCTGCGCCGAACCCCGACTCTACATCTAGTACGGCTGCTGCTGCTGCTGCTGCTGCGAGCAACAAGCGCAAACGCGATGATCAAGACGCAGAGTCCCAGCAGCCAGCTGATGCTGCTCCGACGGCAACGACCGCCGAAGCGGAGCAAGCAGGCGCCGAATCGCCGGTCAAGAAAGCACGAACAGCGCAGGCTGAAAAGGTGCCATCCTCCGATGAAGAGATGGACAGCGAGGACGAAGCGGAAGCAGCGGTGGGAGTCGACGACACCGGCAAGAGTGTGGAGAGTGAGAAGGCTAAGGACACCGACTCCAAACTGTCGAAGGATGCTCAAGTTGATGATCAAAAGCCAAAGGTCAAGGGAACAGCGATGGAAGACGACGACGACGACAGCAGCGATAGCGACAGTGGCAGTGACAGTGTGGACGAGGAAGAGGCAATAGATCAAGTCAAGTCGGTCGAATCTCCTCGCAAGCGTACGCCTGCCAAAGATGATGGCGAGGTCAAGGTTGCCGGCGATCCCAACGAACGAGAAGGAGCCACGAAGGAAGAAGCGGATGCATCCAAGGACGAAGAAGACGACTCGGACGCATCCTCCTCCTCGCGCAAACCCGCCTCTCGACGCACACCAATCCGACGTCGACAGTCCACGACGTCTCGACCTGCCAAGCCCACACCGCCACCGTCTTCACGAGAAGCCGCGGCAGCCAAACGCAAAACGGCCCACCTGCTCTCGATGCTCCTCACTGAGGTCTCGAACCACACGCACGGCAACCTCTTCCACGCACCCATCAAGGAGCAAGACGCACCGGACTACTACACGCTCATCAAGAACCCGCTGGACATCAAGACGATCAAAGCGCGTATCAAGGAAGGATCCATCGCAAGCGCCAAGCAGCTGCGAAAGGCGTTGGCGGGCATGTTTGCCAACAGCTTGATCTACAACCGACCAGGTACCGAGGTGCACAGGATGGCGAGTGAGATGTTTGCCGCCAGCGAGGAGATCTTCAAGCGATACGAGGGGACGCAACGGTTCTGAAGGGTGAAGCTGTCGCGTACTTTATCAAAGGAGTCACAATGATAACCATCAATGTTTGGCAAAGAGGGTGTGAGTGGAAGGATTGAGAGTTGTATGCAGTGTATTTGTGTGAGACAGGTGGAGTGGAGGAAAGAGAGAGAAATCGTACGACCTGAAGCCATGCACAGCTGCAGCGCAGATCTGCGCCGCATTGTTGATGATTTTTCAAACGCCGGCTGATATCTCACAGGGGGGGAACGCGGCGTGGCGAGGGGAAGAAAATGAAAGTGGGCTGATGCACCAAATTCTACACAGCTTTCAAACAAATCACGCATCGGCTGTTGTTCTTTTCTCAGCCCACAGATTCAGGGTCTGAGAACACACACACATACGCGCTGTCACGCTGAACCCACAAACGAGATTACAGTAGGAGCAGTCGCCCTTGTCGCATCCACCTGTTCGACCACACCCGTTCCGTCTAACTACATCAAGCGTCCGAACGCGGCAAGAAGCATCGTCTTCACGCGCTTTGTCGGCGAAAAGTGCGCACGCTGAACAGAGCAGTTGCTTCCTCTGTTGTCAGCTTAGGGCTCCGGAATCCTTCACAGCCACCTCTTGCGAACTGGTCCCATCGCGACGGTCTGCGTTCCTCGCGCTCAAACGACGCAGCAGCCTCATCTCAGGCGATCACTGGTCTCAACGACAAATTAAAGCTACACACACCCACTCCGTGTCGTCTCATTTCGAGTCTTGAACGTCGCAACCATGGCATCCTACACCTCGATCATCCGCGAGATGATCATCCCCTCCTCCTCCTCCCGCCCATCTTCCTCCAAACCCCACTGGGATCCAAATACCTCCATGCCCCTCCTTCCCGACCGCATCGTCATCATCACCGGCCCCACCTCTGGAATCGGCTACGAAACCCTCCGGCAGCTCGTCCTCTCCTCCGCTCATGTCTACCTCTTCGGACGCTCGCTCTCTCGTCTCGAACACACCCGGTCTACACTCGAGCGGGAGTGCGCGGAAGCCCTAGCATCACTACCCAAAACGTCGAGCAGATATGGAGCGACTCCGGGAAAGATGGATTTGATACAGTGTGATCTCTCGGACCTGTCGAGTATCAAGCGCGCGGTCGAGGAGTTCTGCCAGAAGGAATCGAGGGTGGATCTGGTTTTCGGTAACGCAGGAGTCATGACGGGCGGCAAGACTGCTCAAGGGTACGAACAGATGTGGGGTACCAATGTTCTGGGACACCACGCACTGCTCAGGTTGCTTTTGCCCGCATTACGTGAATCATCGGCCACGCGCAAATCCATCCAGACGGGTGAAACGAGGATCATCCTCACCGCCTCGGACACGCATCGCTGGGTCAACAAGCCAATACACCTCTCGCTCACCGACGACGCATCCAACCCCGCGCTCGGCCACATCCACCTCTACGGCAGGAGCAAGCTCGGAAACGTCTACACCACCTCGCACCTCTCCCAGATCTCGACGCGGGAGAACTGGGGGCTGACCGTATGCAGCGTCCACCCAGGCGGAGTCAAGAGCCAGCTCGGATCGAGCAACCGGCTGTTGACCGGGTTCAAGAACCTATTTCTGGTGCCGGCGACGCTGGGCGCCGTGACGCAGCTGTGGGGCGGGACGGGCGCGGCAGCGGACAAGGTGAGCGGCAAGTATCTCGTCCCCTACGCCAGGATCGGGAGGGAGAGCGAGCTCGCCAGGGACGAAAAGGTGAGGGCGGACGTCTGGAGCTGGTGCGAGCAACAGTGTGTCAAGCACGGCTTGATCGCACAGGACGAGGTGATCGCATGATGGCAGTCATACACACACACGCACCCCCCAGAACCGAGCCCCGACGTGTCGTCAGAGACCAGAAAGGTCGTATACCCCCCC